AAGCATCACCTAACATCAGCAGCCTCCCAGGAATACCCCAGCTTAGCAATAGCGCCTCGAGGAAGGGGCTTATTCTTCTGCACCCCACCACTGGTCATATCACACAAGGCTGATAGCCGCTCCCAAGTGAGCTGAACACACAAGGCATAGGCGTCTACTACTACTGTACTACTAAGAAGCGATCGACCTACTCTAGCTGCACTATCTGGAGAGGCAACAACATGGCCACGAGAAACACGGGTCGTAGGGGGCATATGGAGATCGGGTATCGTACATAGATGAGCATAGAATGCCTTGGACACGATCGTATCCAACCTGAAATATACAGGCTTCGAGCAGTGGCAAGAAGGATAAACAATTTCATCAAAGTCACTAGAAGACTGCAGAGACAGTGATAGACTGTGTCCAGCTATCAGTCTGAACAGGGCGTCTCCCACTCGTAGAGATCACGAAAGCGTTAATAAAGCCTTATAAGCCGTGCCACGACCGAAAAATAAGAAGGAGAGTATAGTAGATAACACGAGGTATTACAAGTGGCTAGGATGGGGGAACATGGTGGGAACTCCCATGGCCTCTACACCAACCATCAACTCGAAGAAGGCGTCCTTATCAATGTATCCACCAGCATCAGTGATGTTATCTTCGAATGCAGTGGGCCACAGGAAGTACCTTCATTACAACAATGCACAACAACACCAGATGCCCCGAGCCCTACATCGCAGCCTTATGGCGCCCAGTCAGCATTTGTCGTATCGCGAGGGGACTGATTTTCCTCAGATCTTCAGCACTGGTAACGAACGCACTAAGCACCTAGGAAAGGGTCAATGCAGTGGTGATAGTAGTAGCAGTAGATTCGTATAGGTGATGACCTCGTAGTCGTTCTTCGCAACCTTCCTTATGCCCTTCTGCATCATATGGCATATATAAGTATCAGAAACATTAGAACCGGCCTCTCCCCAACTCTGCCAGTCGTATTCGTTCACGTTACCAAAATTAGGATTTCCCCACCGCACCTACAGCTACACATAGCCTCCCAAAGACCACTATGTACATCCAGCGATAGTAAGTCGATCGAGCACGGGAGACAGCTTACCACAAAAACAGAGAGGCTCGGTGTCGAAGGCTCAGTAAGGCGGACGTCAGAGGGATAGTAGGCTTGCTCAATATTCCTAGTATCAGTTGTATTCAACACATCCTGTTCCCGATCGAACCATATACGATGCTCGTATCGTACCTAGCCAACATAGTTGGAATATATCTTCGCTTTACTCAGCTCAGGAGTGTCCTCACTAATTATAGGAGTTTACATACAAATTCGGGTAGAAGTGTAGAAAAACCAACAAGAAATTTCCAAAATTTTTTCAGAATTATCACCAACACATGGCAGTTTGCCATGCACATATTTTCCCACACTGAGACAGAAACTAGGCACCTTGACGTAAGTCTCGTGACGAGCAGGGTTGAACTCAGCCTCCTTGAAATCGTTGATGACAATCGCTGGCTGCCATCGATCGGTCCAGCCAATCTGTGGTCTGTTATAGCCTTGTACGTGGGTGTCGACGGCAAACCAAGCAGGGTCTCTAGGGCTCTTCTGCATTTGGTAGAAGACCCACACCTTGGTGCCGGCCTTCAGGTCACCAATGTTCGATTTGGGACTCTGCTGCTGCTGGTGATGGTGATGATGATGTGGAAAAGGAGTGGTATGCCCTTCTGAGCTCATTATGATATCTACACTACTGATTGCTAGCAATACCCCAGCTCACTCAAACGCAATAAAAGTAGCATAACCTCTACAGAAACATCGTAGGTAACTACCTGTTCATCCCACATCTCTGATGAACCAACCCGTCCTTTCCCCTCGTACGAGTGAACTATTCCTAATCTCAGTGCTCTCGATATCCATAATTATTTGTAATATTGCACGCTGTGCTGCTTGCTTCTCAGAATTGGTCAGTGTGAAAAAATACGTACATGGTCTACTACATGTGTTGGTGACGATATTGAAAATTCTCTGACGCTTTTAAAAAGCAGAGATCAGCAAAGTACCATCGGAGAAAGCATTCATGCGACCCCACAAGCGAACGAACACATAAATCCAGTGTTGGAATATACATTCGCTCTCTTAAAGAGAGCTCGGTAATTTTACCACTTGATATGGAAGTTTGCATATGAATTCGGGTAGAAGTGTGCAGAAAACAACAAGAATTTCCCAAAATTTTCTCTGAATTTTCATATTGTCACCAACACATGTAGTAGACCATGTAGTTTATCTATCTCCTACACCAAGCACCTCCAACACTTTCGCAGTACAGCGTTCAATATTAGCGATATCAGAATGACTACACCCCTTCTGAAGCTCTATCACGGTCTTACAGACGAGTCACTAAATGACAATGACAGAAGTCCAGACCCGATAGGATTTGCTGGAAGAACAGTCTTGACTCGTCCTGGGTTAATCGCATACGATGAACGATACAATCAAAAAGCTCGCCCCCTACAACAACATAGTACATTTCCCGTAATAGATCATATTCCTCTTCTACCAGAGACGCCTTCCATAATCATCAAGGTCTCTGACGGGGTGTCGATGAGATCATACATTCTAATGACGTGTGGATGGGCCATCGACTGCATAATATTGACCTCACACAAGAGCTTGCCGGGAATTCACATTCGATGCACATTTTCCTTGTTTTCACAGCAACCTAAGTGTCCACAACAATTCCAACCACTACTACTGCCAGTTCTCCAACATCGGTAGTCTATACGAACACCACTCAACGTTCACAATACGAATCTGTCGTTCACCGTTGAATATGAGTGTCAACCTCTAGCCTGCCAGTACCACCTTTTCCTTAGTAACCACCTGTTCAGCCAACTTCACCTTCCCAAAGGTGCCGACCCCAAGCGTGTTAAGCACGAAATAGTCCCCAACCCTGCATGCCCCCGCTTGCCGCTGATGGGCACCCTCCTCATGATGATGATGGTGTTACCCTGTCACATACCGTGTATCCACTGCTGGAGATGATGACGACGTGGTTGACTGACTGTCCGGTCATGAGGATAGCAGAGAATGAGTGAGCTCGTGCAAGGGCGCGCGCGGTTTGCAAATAACTGCGATAATTTCTCAAAACCTCGTTTATTCGAATCTAGAAGGGCTCGCCTTCACCAGTGAATTTTCAAAGAACATTAATATTTTTGAGCTACGTGGATATAATCGTGCGTCAAAATCTCACATTTTCGAATTTCTTCCACAAACTCTTATCACATACTCCTATACTTTCAGCGTGTCTCCCTCTTATGCGTTGGGAATCTGCCAGCTTGAAACTCACGCCCGACTCTCTCCATTTTGGATGACTCGTCTACTATCAACTCAACGGTTGCAACTCTTCAACTGGAGACACAGGGCAAAAAGGTATTCAAACAACTAGTAGAAATTGGAGAATGGAACGCGATTGACATAACGCTAACTCTGAGGGTCCGCATAGACACGCAACAGTCCTGGCACGACGTATGCTGTGATCTTACCTGGCACGACAAAGTGAGCTTTGGTTGAGTTCACAGTTGATCTACCCTTTGGGATGACCTCCCCATCTGTACAAAAACCAACACCTCTGTTGAGGACACCCTCATCAACAGGCTCAATCTTCCATGCCACTACACACTTCTCGCCCCACGATGGCGCCAACACTGTCTGAAATGACACCAACTGAATCCTGATCATCTCAGAAGCAGCTCACCTCCTTCCCTTGGCTTATAGTCATCGAGCTTCTTGCGAACTTCACCAAGCCAAAGTCCTCCCGACGTGGACAACGCAATGCCCATTGACCATCATTCAGTTCTTGATGAGGAGCTATCATAAGGTTGGGAGCACTATGGGACAGGTTGTTCAGCCAGACTCCGGCAAAACTAAAAGATACATCAACTAATAATATCGAACAATATACAAGAGGGATATTCATTGTGAAAGGTAATATTACTGGAGTTTCACCCGTTTAACGCGAGGTGGCATAATACTCCATGTAAATTTAAGACGTGTATGTTTCCGCGACCGATAACACCATTGTTTTTCGCCAAGTGAAGTGTTAAATACGTTTTCCACTAGTGTTTATATACCATTATTAGTATCGAATATATATAATAGAGTATAAAAAATTAATACATAAAAAATAAAAAGTAAACTGCGTATTGCTCGATAAAAGACATCAAGCCTTACTCCCCTTCCTCAGTAGTCCACAAAGGGCTGTCTTCTGGTGGTAGACCATTCAGAGGCTCCTTAACATCTGAGCTGAGGACGTACGATACTTTCCCAACATAGTGACGGAGCCAAAGAACGCGCCACAATCCATATAGTGTGAACCGTGCATCGCCAATGAGTCGAAATGCTTCGGACTCAACATCAACCTGAGCATGATCTCGCATCGATACCCAAATC